CTTCTACTTCACTTGGCAAAGCAGAGATCCAGAAAGATACAAATAGCATCTTCAAACTGGCTGTGGTTTGAGCAAGCGGCTGGCACATTTGTGACACATTGCACCGTGCGATGTCAGGTAAGAAGCAGACAGCATCTGGGATGCTCGTGTCTTATCTGCACCGCTGTGGAGCTGTGTTTGAGGGGGTGTTACTGTGATCTGTGAGCATGTACCGTGTCGCTGGAGCAAATGCGCTGTGCCTGCTCACTGAGCAGTCCCCCCCCATGACTCCACCCCCATCCCAAAGGCGGGCGGGCATGTAGAACAGAAGAGCCACATCCAAAGAGGAGGAGCTGTGAGGGGGAGTCAAAAGGCAGGCCTCATAGATTTCAGATAAGACATCTTTCCAGACGCCTCTACTGTTTACTATCAAAACCACATAACAGCTTCAGACTTGTCGAGATAAAAGGGAAGATTAGTGACTCCAGTGGCAGGACAAACTAACTGTGAAACACCTACAATGTGTCTATGATGAGTCTGCCCTTCTCTGGATGTAGACTGTTTTAACTGTGCCTCTTATGAAGTGTGACTAATATTCTGTTAACATAACACTGTAAATGAATCTGTTTTGACCATCTCATGGATTTGCCGCTTGGCTCAAATTCAAGTGTTGTTCTTCATTAGACAATGGTGTAAACCAGTTATAAATGTGAATTAGCACATCCAAAACATCTTTCTGTTCCCTCTGCTTTTGTGGTCTGTGTGTCCCTCTCTCTGTGCGTTCCTCACAGCAGCAGATCAGCTTCATACTGTGTACATAACAATAACTTTGTTGTCATTCCAGCAGCCTATCTGTCTGGGCATCACTGAAGCGTGAGGGCAGGAGGAATTTCATGTAGTTTTGATATCTCAATTAAAGTGCGTCTGTCTCCTGTTATCTCATTTAGTGTGTAGTGGATATGATTGGCATAATCAGACATGCCTGATTGGTGCCTCCCATTTAATTAATCTGTCTGTATCGTCACCTGTGGCTCATTAGAGTAATTAGAGTGAATTAGTCTGATAGAAGGTCTCTCTGCCGGCACACGAGCTGATTCATTATGACGCACAAACATACAAATACATTTTGTTGGGATAGCCACTGTTAATAGGATTTGTTTAGCTGTGACCAATATCACTGTTTATTAAAACAGTGGTCGCATAGAGAAATGCTCACTTTATCTGGCTCAACTTCTCCTTCGCGCACTAACAGAGCTGACTGTGCCAAACTCTGCCGGGTAAACATGTAGCACGCTTCTTCCACTAAACAGCTGAAAGAATGTGGAAAAACTGGGCTTCCAAACTTACAGTGGCGGTCGACAGTGCACTCATGTGAGAGTACACGCGTGCAGAGCAGTGTGAGGCAGGCTACTTGGCCAAGTCACTGCTGAAGTCTCTCTAGGGAGTGTTGGCAATCTGTTCCAATCGTCTTTACAGCTGACCAGACGACCAAATGAACCAGGACAGGGACCGCTGCTGTGGGCCAGTCCAGCCAAGCCAAGCAGGGCTGTTACAGCAATCACACATTATGGGCCGCTTAATGCTCCCCTGAACTCACCACTTCATCCTCAGCTAAAATCACTAGTGTTGCCCTAACAAGGAACATCACTAAACTTGAGAGAGTCCCTTTGAATTTTTTGGGTGAACTCATTTTATTTTGTTTCCCCTTAAGACATTTCTTGCAAGGCTTTCTGGCCCTTAAAAGTAATTTTTAGTGCAACTTTGGTAGGGTCTTAAATACTTTTTACTATATTTATTTCATATCCTAATCCTTGCTGAGCTTGTTAATTTGCAAAGCTTACCAGCCTATCACAATGTCAGTCATGACGGTCAAACATAATGGCCTATAATTCCCTGTAGTATGGCAGATGGTGGGAAGTTTCTGAGAACTCGACAAAGTAATGTGCCCACACGTACTCCTAACCAGTGTTTTAGCAGTTTAAACATTCTTTTAAGCTTAGTCAACACATAATTTCTTTCTCAATATTGAAATATTGATATAACGTGATACTGAATTTGGTGATACAGTATTGATATTGTGGCCTTCTATATCGATTATATTGCCAAGAGTATTTTTGGTATCTTTTAGCAATTTTTTTTGTGACTGTACTACAGTTTTATTGCTTAATTAGTGAAAGGAAACCTGTTTATGGAATACAGTTGATATATTGACATTTATATTTTGATGATTAAAAAAGATGTATTTCATATTAACTTTGCACAAGTAGTGTTTATCAAAGAAATGCTGTTGCTAAAATTATTTGGTTCTTAAAAAAGAGCACTATATCATTTGCAATATATCGATTTTTAGATATATTGATAATAATGTATCATGGGCCATGTATCGTATAGAATTGTGAGACACCCGGTGATTCCCAGCCCATACACAAGTGACACACTACATATAGTAATATTTGTTGCTGCCATCAAAAAAAACATATACGACATTCAACAAAGACAATGATGGCTTAATACTTGTATTATATTTCCTGTTTAAAGCAGTCTGTATGTGTACAACGGCGTTTGCGTTTCATGCGTGAGGCACCGTACAGCAGGGAGACTGTGCACGTTTGGATGTTCCGCTCTATCAGCAGGACGAGTGTAAAGTCTGCCTGTGTCTGCTGATGTGGGCCCCACTTTGCTGCATAGTCAAAAACCCGCCTGACTCTGAGGGTCTTTTAAGCAGAAGATCATGCCCATAATTACTCGCTCACTGGCATTGAATCAATCCTTTCATTTGTGATGTTTTCATTTGGCCCAGCAGTGAGTTTTTTTGGGTGTATTATTGGAACGGGATTGGTCAGAATCAAGGTCATCTGGGATTGGCCCATGACCTCCCAGAGGATGTTATTTTTCGATTTGTTTTAGTTTTACACAGAAACAGCTTATTAATCACTTTGAATCTATATTGCCAAGTAGGCTTACAGGTCCAACATTTTTAAGAGGCAGCGGTGACTTAAACTGTGAGAAATACGTAATACAAGAGACGCTTTATTTATGACTGTGGGTCAATGATGTAATAAGCAGCTTTTAATGTCCAGTGACATTACAATCTAGTTATGACAATGTAGTTATTTGTTCAAAAATCAATAGATTATTATGTACAGATTTTTATCTTTTGTTATTGTATGTTTGAAAATTATTGCATTTCTAGTTCGCAAAGTACACGTTCTGAGTCTTTGCCAGCTCAAATCACTGACCTGGAAGAACCAATCCAAAAACTGAAAATGCGTTAAAACATTTATGGAGCATTAGCAGAAGCCTTTGATAAATATGTTTAACTTGAATAAGATATTAGCCGTGGAATGTGTTTATAATAGCATATTCGTATATTCTTTTAAAAATTATATATCATTATGGGACTGTTTGAGTCATTTTTGCTCCTGTACCTAAACTGATAAAAATACACTCAAATTTGCCAACTGGAGCATATTCTTTTTGACAATTAATTTCACATGATTAAAATTTATTAGGTTCCTCTTTTTTATTGGCCTTTGTACAACGTTGTGCGCACGCTCGAGTTCACTAACACACAGTGCAGCTGCTCCATGGCCATGGGCACACAGGCTGCTACATCAACGGCTTCCTGGGCACTGAGACCAAGATGGCAGAAAAGCAAGAGAGCAGTTTTGCTTCTGTCTTTTTGAGCTCCTATTTAAAGAAACAAACAAGCAGACAGTTAACCGTGTTTAACTGGATTTTTAAAATGGTTGTGAATAAAACAAGATCAGAGACAGTCTTGGTATTAAACTTAACGCTGATGGGTAAAGTTGTCTAATTAGCTCTTGATCACAGTGGAGTGTATTTTTTGGTGCGAGCTGGTGTGGGGCGGTGGGCTCTGTGAGAGTACTTTTGGGACCTTGTCAGCAGACTGAGCCACAAGGGCCCCTGTGGTAATGTGTGTATTAAATGATTAGTGTGTTAGTTAGCATAACGGCCCTTCAGCAGCGTTTAATCACTCTCTGGGGTGGGCGGCCTCACAGGAGGTGTACAAGAGGGGGGCGAGGGGTGGGAGGGGGTTTAAACACAGAAGATGGGATAGCTGTGTGAATGAGGGAGTTGAATCATCTGTGAAGTGAATGGAAAAATGAGAGGGGGGAAAGGAGCGAGCATGACAGAGGGCAAGAATCCAACAGAAACATAATCCAACAACACTCAGCACAGAGATACAATCTTTACAGGGCCTGAACGCCTTGTTAATGTCAGCACTTGGCGCATCATCTGGAACCAGTCCCATAAATAACTATTAATAACAAAGAAAGAGTGTACGAATAGACGTGGGCCCTGCCTCAGCCCTGACGACGCTGTTGTTTTTGATAATTGTGCTGTCATTGTTCAGGGGAAGGGCTGGTTTTAACATACACTCACTGTGTGCACATGGAGCTGTATTCTTTTGTTTGGGGACTTAACTGACATGTTGCCAGGCTCAGATGTTTTTTGCACTGGTAGCTAACAGCTGGTGCAGAGGGGATTTCTTTGACAAATGTTATTGTTTTGGTCAGACCTCCGATGCTTAACAATTTTTCACTGGTCAGGGAGACAAAAAGGCTTATTTTTCCACTAAAACTTGAAAAAACAGTATTCATTGTTTTTCAATCAAATAGATAGTTGCCCTTGAACAGATGTTGTGTATATGAGTAACTAGGGCTGGGACGAATGCTGGTTAATCAATAGTTTACAGGTTACAGTATAATTTATAACAACTAAAAAATATTTATTGTTTGAGACGGCAACAATACATAATTTTATTTTCCAAAAAGTTAACCCATTTGTTTATGTGTCATTAATTTTATCATTCAGTATGTATGATTTTATAAACTTGAACACATACTAGAAGATGTGGGGCTCTATATGACAGTGTGAATGAAAGTGAATGGTGTCAATAATCATGTAAAACTGGAACACTAGAATTTGATAGGGTGACATAAGTAACACATGTTAATATGTTCAAATTGTAAGCTGAAGTGCTTGTTGTGTTACAGAAAGAACTAGACGCCACCGCCACACAGCTTGCCAACAGACAAGATGAGAGTGAACAGTCCCGGAAGAAACTAATTGATCTGAGCCGCGACTTCAAAAAGAACACACCAGAGGTGAGTCCAGCAAAAGCCACACTAATGTGAATCCAACAGTGCTTTGTGTTCCCAGAGAGGGCCTCAGCGTTCACGGCTCCTCTCTACATCATAAATGTAGGAGTGATAATTTACTCAGAAAGCAGGGGAGGAGGAGACGGCGCAGAGATGCGAGCTTGGTTCCCAAAAATAGTCCCTCCATTAGTTTCCCTGAAATCCTAAAGAGACAAAACAGAAAACCCCTCAGGAGTTTGTATTATCTGACCTAGTTTTTTATGCGTGCAGAAAGTGCGGCCCTTTTGTGTGTGCGTGAGCTGGAGAAAGACAGACAGTGAGCAGCAGAGCCCAGCGAGAGGGAAAAAAAGTGTGTGACAACATTACTAAGTGGGATCAGGAGGGAATTCTGCCCTGTTCCTGTGTTCCCAGCACTCCTCATGGGAATATTTGTTTCATCTCTGTTACCAAGGCAACATATTTTCAACCACACTGCAAAAACAAAGTATTGTTGTGTTATTATTGGTAATGTCACCATGGTGAATTATTGATGGTGCTATGAATAATGTATGAAAGGAGTAGACAGTGTATAGAAAATTGTCAACCCTCAATGGACTTGACAGTAGGCTTATTATAGAGGCTACCAAAGGGTGCAGATTGTGACTCTGTGCTATCACACTAAGGTTGAGCAGTGTACTGCATAGCAGAATACCTGATTATGATTTCATTAGTTACATATGTGAACAGGGATGGACACAGACAAAGATATGAAGGTGCACATATACATGGAGTGCGTCATGCTTAGAGCAGATAGGCTGGATCAGAGGAGAGGACACACACATTCATCAGTGTAACAAGGCTGTGATTTAGGGCGGCTCGTCTGGCGTCTGTGTGGCCCCTGGCATCTCTCTGGTATGTGGAGGAGGAATCTGAGCCCGGTCAGACGAACGACAGGATTCATTACAGGCCTGTAACAGGCTCAATAGGAATCCCCAACAAACACTGTACAATTGGAAGGCTATTGACATTCAGTACTTTGCCTGTTAATGCTTGTGTCTGTGATGGCCAGCACTTGATTATAAATGCTCTGTAGTGCATTTGCAGAAAGTGCGTTTGGTGTTTCTTGGTGTGTGGGTGACCAGCCTGTAGTGCGGGCTGTCAGCTCTCTGTGGTCCGCACCAGTCAGTGGAGATCACAGTCACATCAGATCAGACTGCATTAAGCTGAGCGGGAGTCCGTCTCTGATCCATTATTCAACAACCAGGAGACTGGCCCACGTTGACTGTGTCTAGTCTGCTGAGCTGTACTCGGCGTGAACCGCACTCATGGTCTGCATAATAACGCACGTGGTGGCACACACACACGCTTTTGTAGCATTTTTAAAGTAGTGCAAAGAAATGCAGCGTGAAAACAAAGTTTTCATAATTCATCAGCTCTGACACACTGTTGAATTTTTTGAGACTGCATCTTGCCGTGCTTCCTAAGTTTACTCAATTATTCATCCACATCTTAATTTATTTTTCGTAAGTAAGGACTCCCGGGCTATGCCGTTATAAAGGCAAGGGTGGGAATGGCTGTAAAATGTCCCAAAGATTGCTAGCCAGAGGCAGTGGTAGTAAAACAACTTGGTGTGTGCACATGCATGCACATACACACATTTGTGTTTAGCTGCAGGCCAGACAGACAGCGAATGGGAGTTCCATACTCCCAGGAGGATTCCTCGGGCTGGCCTGTCTGCTGTCTGCCGGCAGCTTACACACCAGCCATCCATCTCCTGCTGCTGGCCCCTTCACTCCCCTCTGCACACACACATATACACACACACACACACACAAACACTCACACACACAACACACAGCCAGACTGACCATAGTTTCTGTGTGCATTGTTATGTTATATGCTCATAAATCTTGGGAGCAGTGGGGGCAAGTGGGTGGAGCTCTGAAGAGTGGACCTAAGGGTTGATAGGCGAGGAGCTGGAACCAGAATAGTGGCATGCCTCTGCATCTGATTTGAATGTTGACCAATCTTATCACTGACTCCACAACTTGTATCTTGCCAGTAAATGTGAACATTAAGAACAACTTTGTTAGGTATTCCTTACCTTGTTGTTCATTTAAATAAATTGATATATTTTGGAGAATTGTTGTTAATTTTACAGTTAAAGTATTAATGTTACGGCTGCAGAATAAATGTACACATAGATTTGAAAGTGATGAAGATTCAAAACTAAATATTTTATCTTTTGAATGATGAAAAGTCCTCAAAATGGCGCTTATAAAAAGGAAACTGAACCCAATACATCTGAATAGTTGTAAATGACAAATCTCAAAGATTGCAGTTGTTTGCTTATAACATAGTCTCTTCTGTATGTTAAGAAAAATCATCTATAGTTCAGATCTCTATAATTAGTTTAGCAGTTCATATTCCAGTCTTCTCTCAAAAGTTAATGGACCTGGATATGTTTAAAATGTAAACTAAAATATAAATCACAAATAAATTGCTATTGCAGTGCTTAACAGTAAAGTTACAATTAGATATTTGCCCCAAATCACCCAGCCCCTGTTCATGTGATCATAACTGATAGGTTTGTCTGCCTGCTTGGGTTTTGTTCACGTTGCTGTGTGAGAAAGCAGAGGGGGATGGGCCATTCCAAGTGTAGGTCATTATCCTGGTGGGGGAATATTGAATTGGCCCAGACAAACAGCTCTGGTGACCCCTGATGAGTTAACAATAGACTAGGGTCACGGGGGTCACGACCTGTCCTCAGCCCAGACAAGTAGCCTGTCTGGGCCTGTCTTGGGGAAGTGCAGACTCTGTCCTAGCTCATTTTGAGAAAAGTCTTTTAGGTGCAGAAGTCTTTTCTGATAGATCTGTCTTAACCCCACATCTTTAGGCACTTTGGTGAGTCCACAAAGTGCAAATCAGATGTTCGTGTACAGAATGTTCTGTTTGCCTGTAATGTTACTGTGCATTTCAGTTCAGTTTGTCAGGGATGTAGTCTCAGCTAACAGCATGGTGATTTGCATGTTCCCTTGATACATACTCGACTGGCTATCTAATCTCAAACCACTGACCTGTACTGGAAAGTCATGCAGTGGGACAGGCAGGATGTAAAGCATTTACTTGGTAAAAGAGTTTGGTGCCCTTATGTCCTCTGCAGTAAGTGCAAGCCTATTCTGTGGCTCACACGCACTGGAGATGCCTCTGGGTGGCCCAGGTGGTGCAGCACCTGTTCTTATGAAAAAGAGTCCACAAAGAAACTTGAGGCTAAAAACTGCACCCTCCCACTCAAGCTCATTATGCACCAGACGCTCACTGGCCATGATTGTCTCATTGTCCATATAATCAATGTGATCAAGTGATCAGGGCAACACAGCTGTACCATAACTCTTTAAAGGCCTGATTGTGATGTGTTTTATTTATATTTTACAGGATTTACGGAAACAGGTTGCACCATTACTGAAGAGCTTCCAGGGAGAGGTGAGTCCATTTTTCAAAGTTAATGTATCTTGTGAGAGATGAACATATTATCTAGTGCGTTTTCAGTATTTACTAATCAATGACCAGGCAGCCATAGCTTCCTCCGTCATCTTTCCTGTTCTTGTGATCATCCTTTCTTCTGCCACGATCTCATTTCCCCCTTTTCCTCACTCTTTTCTTCACTCTGCTCTTGATTTTCTGTCCTATTCATGAAGTCCTGTAGCCCGAGGATGTGTTTAAATTGCATCCTGCAACAAGGCCCCACAAAAGCTTTTCTCTGGCCACTCAACTCTCTAGATGCTTTAAACTGTCTTTGACTTGGATTCTGTTATAGTAGTGATTCAGCAGCATTTTTGCCATTCTTGTACATTTATTTACATATTTACATACTTTCAAAAGTTCTTAAAGTTGTGTAGTAGATGACTACTTTAAGCACGATATAGTAGTCCTGCTGTTATTCCCATCTCCTCTATCATTTTGGCCTACTTCCATCATGGCTCCTCCTTTTTTGGCAGTCATGCCTTTCCAGTTCACTCCCATATTTAAGTTAGCGCTGAGGCTGGGGCAATATTTGGGGTTGGAGTGGGTGGACACTTAGCCTAACAGAATTTGTGCTCCTCATCGAAACACACAACATCAACCCAACAGTTTCTGACAAGGCCGCGTGGCTACTGGCCTTAAAACCGCTCAGTTTAACACTCAGTTATTCTCAATATTCTTGTGTTAGAGCAGCGACCACAGCCAGTGGTTATGTAAAAATGCTGTAATTTATAGTGGTTCTACCATGTTCTGCTGATCATCCAGAGTCTATTTAGAGAATAGAAACGGCAGCAATATAATTGGGGCTTTGTCAGCTGTTTCCACCATCCGCGTGTTGACACACCTCGACTGTGTGCACACCAGAATACATGGAGACGCAAAGTGGGTGGTCGCGGAACTGAGAAAGACATTATCTTATGATTATTGAGATAATACCTTACACCCGCGCCAGTCTTGGAGCAGCCCATCAATCAGTCGACTATTCTGTGCTTGCATGCCACAACACGAGGAGCTCTGAGAATGTGTAATTTTAGCCTGCCTTTGTTTGCTTACTCTCCATCCCTTTGATCAAGGACAAGACAGCATCAGTAACATTGGATCTTCTCGTTGGACTTACTCCTCCTTTTGCCTTTCACCCTGAAGCTCAAATCCTGTCCAAATGAATATGGACAGTACCACAACAATAAAGTCAAAGTTTTTTTCCTGACTAATGGGAGCAGCTGATTTTCTGTTTAATCTTTGTCACTGAAAGGTGCATGCCCTGTGGTTATAATTATTACCGGTGACTGTAGTTTTTCCACAAAGCTCAAGTTTGGTAAACAGGTTCTGGTTGTGCGTCTAAGCGTGTTTGTGTGTATGTTGCGCTGTTCCTTGTTGGTCCATCGATCAGATAAGCTTTTCCATTATCCAATGCTTCAGTGTGTGCTTCCCATAGCCACCCCTTATCTGACTCCACTGGGGCCACACACACATAGAACAGGTCAGCCCGATGCCCTTCACACGCGGCGGCTCAGATACGGGGCCGAGGCGGTGCTGAGTGATGGTGGCGAAGGTGCTGACGTACGTGCGTGTGCGTTTGTGTGTGGATGTGTCAGGGAAACCTTTTGCAATTGCAAGCACTTCTCACCGGTAACCTTCTGATACTGGCTATATCGTTTGTATCACTTCATTTGTTTTTCTTGCTCCGTTGAAAGGGTGTAGAGCAGATGTCATTGGGATTGGTAAAAAGATCTGAAGTTAGAAACAGCGGCCTTGTATTTGCGAATCCTGGGTGGTCTTTTCTAATGGCTCTGGTCCTCCAGTTAACCTGCCTCTAACTGTAGGGTGTGTCCTACATTAAACATCTATTTCCTGCCTCCCATGTTGGACTATATAAAGCTGCTGTACCACTGACCTTGGCCCAGTCATTGTAGAGTCATGCAGCTGGCTTCCTTCATTACTTTTCAGTTGATTTGTGAGATTGCAAAGATATCCAAGTGCTAGATAGTCACTTTATGAAAATACACAAATGATATCTTTGCAGAATAGGTTTTAATGTTCTGTGAGTGGGGCATTAGTACTTAGATTCAGTAATCTCCGATTAGTGGCCTCTAGTTAAGGATTGTGATTGTTCAATGTCATTTAGCATGGCAGGTTAAATAGCAGGGCACAATGTTGCATGATATAATATAAGAAAGGGGTAGTACAGTTTTGTCTGTGCGCATGCTGGAAAAATATGTGCACGTGTGACTGAGATACATGTGAGAGAGACGGTCCCAGAAAAAGATTGAGTCAGAACAGGGAAGTGACAAGAGGGAGAACTTGTATAAAGACATAGAGGAATAAAATGGGGGATAGCGGGAGGGGAGCTGGCACCAGCATAGACGAGTCCAGATGTTTTGCGGCTAAAAAACTGCAGATGAATCAAAGCCATGTGAGGAGATTTATTAGGTTCCCATAGGAGCCCAGGCAGTATTACATGTAGCCTGCTCTGTTTACAGTGGCAAGAACCCCTAAACCACCCATCAACTGCACTACTGGCTTGGCTGGGAATGTGAAGACTTTATATTTGGACTTGTACAGGCTTTTGTCCTCACTCTCCCAGTCGAACGTGCTGGAGGAGTTGGAACAGAAGCACAGGCCTGTTTAGTCTGTGTGCGCGAGCCAGAAGAGTCAGCTGTAGCTCTGCCCAGTACAGTAGCACCATCTGAATGTCTTTATTTGGCATCTGCTTCCCTCAATTTCAACTCGATTTCAGATGTCTTTTCGCCTACTCTGTCTGCGCCTCATGTTTAAGTGTGACAGTGGCTGCTGTAGACAGTGCTGACGCGGTAAAAGTTCTCCCAGTATGATTTCATAATTAATCTCTTATGGATCCGTTCTAATGCCTGTCCATTTCAATAATATCGGTGATGGAACGCACGCAGTGGCCCCTTGTGTTAATGGCTGCATCAGTAATGGATCTGCGCTGTATTGCCGCTAAGAGCTGACTGAATAATCTGCCCCCGCTGTGGCTGGAAAGACTGAGCCAGCTGTTTAATGATGTCAGCGTGCTGGAGGGGAAATGCATACACACACCGTGGCACGCACACACAGTCCACACTAACAGAGGGACTTGGACACTTTTAGTCTCGGATAGACAAGCGGACGTGTACGGAGCAAACCAAATGCATCACTCATCAGTTGAACAGCTGAACTGACTTTACGGGAAGGAAACACCAACGTGGCTACCGTCAAGACATCCCCTGATAGCATGCAACATACCACCACATAGTGAGGAGAGACAGATATGCAGACCACTCGCTGGCTATACTAATGAATGACCTGCTTATAGTTTGTATTGATGCCTGATGTTATTTTTCTTTTTACAGATCGATGCCTTGAGTAAGAGGAGTAAAGAAGCAGAGGCCGCCTTCTTGAACGTCTACAAAAAAATAATTGATGTCCCAGGTAATTGACTATAATATAATCGAGTTTGGTTCCATTTTCTTTGTACTCTTAAACTAAGCCAGATGTATGCGTTAGTACTAATAATTTTAACTAATTAATTAATACATACTGTCTTCTGTATTAATTAAAACTAGGAACATAACAGCATAGTGTGCACTGGGTTGGATGTGACATGTTTAGCCAACAACAGCAATCACTCATAATAGCTAAACCAAAAATGTTATTATCCAGCAATTTATTTACTAAAATAAATGTGTTCCATGATACACCTTCATACCGTTATGCTCACTGCAGACAGCCCCCATAGCAAAGGAGCCCAACTCTGACACTGCCCCTCTAGTGCTAGTCCCTGAGCATTCAAGCATGTGTAACACCTTAATGTTTCCCCACGAGATCTTATTCCCACCAGAGTTGCCTTTAGTGGATCTTAGCAGAAGGTGGCTTCTGATACAGTTGACAAGTACAACCACGATTGAGTGTTCCAAAGATCATTTATGAATAGTCAGGTTCAGGATGCAAAAACCGAGCAGGGACACACACAGCACACACTGGGGCTGGCTCCAAATCTTCAGCAGTGCCGGAATCCTAGAGGGGCTGTACATGTAGGAATGGGAGAGGAGTTGAGTTCATCTATAGCGTAAGGAGGTCATCATATTCCCACATGGATAGACCTACAGTAATATCTTTGGATTGTACTGCTCCCAATAAGTCAGCGGCAGCCCTGACGGGGCTATTCTTAACTTGCAGCGAGACAATGATGTAATGCTTGATGCACATACGCACGCAGACACAGAGCAGCCTGACTAATGCAGCAGTCTTGAAAGAGGAAACAGTGTGTTTTGTTCTGTCTTCTATCAGCTGAAGGCCTGGTTAGTCAGACTAATGTGCTCTGCTTTAGATTAAAGGTGTCTGGCGAGAGTGTTCAGCACCAGTGGCCCTTAAGTCAAACTGCTTTTAACAGACTGTACAGTTGATTTGGAGGGAGTCTATGAGAAGGACGAATGTTTGATAACAGAGAAAGTTGATTTTCAAGGGCGCCAAGGCCGATAGGAGACCAAATTCAAGGCGTACAGTTGTGCCTTGATGTTTTACTTGTATCAGACTGTGTAAAGTGTGAGAAGGGCATGTGTGATTCTGAGAGCGCATAGCTCTGCATGCTGTGTCACCTTGACAGCACAAAATCAGCATGAAATTCCCCAATCGTTCTGTGCTGATCTCTCATTAGCATAGTTAAGATATCTAACTGCGTCAGACATGGGCGCACACACACGTACAGTCCTTACCCCCAGCTGTAAGCTGTCAGTTCCTCTTATCTCGACAACACGCACAAACACACACAAACTGCTCTTTTAGCTGGCATGCTGATGAGCGTCGCCCGCGTCTCTTGGCTGCCTGTCACCAGTCTGCCACCCATGAGCACCAATCAGATGTGATTGGCCTGACTGACAGGGCTCTCTTCATCACAGTGACAGTTAACCCCGCTGTGTGTTCACACAGACTTTGGTGAAATATCTTCTGAAAGTTGTTTTTGTGTAAATTTTCTCTTTCTTTAATTTCTTGTTTACCTTTTGCTACTCCACATGGCGCTGCGTTGTCCACATGTGGTTGTCTCTTGTTTTTACTAATCTGCATCACTGTCAACAGTTGATCAGAGTCGTCTCATCTGAGCCTAGCTACAGGTGTGTTTTCATATTTCTGCTTTGTCAGCAGTCAGCTCTTTGTTTTTCCATTACAGCCTAAGAGGTTTATCTGGCTCCCTGACAATAGTCTGATGATACAAAGCATGATGTGTATTGTTCAATAGAATTAATGGATAAAGTTGTGTGATACAGTGCGTGAGAACTAACTGTGACCTTCCTTTTTGTGTGCAGTAAACAGTGTGGGAGTTCTTAGTTCTCTTGTACTAATCAGTCAATTGTGAACATAGTACAAACTGTATTTGCAGTGGAACCAGTTCACAGAGACGGCGACAGTTAGCCTGATTAAGAGCTGATATTGTTTCAGTTTGTGCTGTAACAGTTGTTATCCTTATAGCAGGCCATATTTGTGATATCTTTGGTCCTTGCGCTGCTGGATTCCACAGGGAGATCATAGGCCAGGGTTGTCCTCAGTACACTGCTCCTGGACTTGTTAGATTCATGGCCTCACTGAAGGACATTTCACCAGGGCAAATGCGGCTCTCACAGGGGCTTGGACACTGTTATTCCCAGTGAGCTTCAGTGGTGTGCGGCTGTGTTTTGTGTTATGTGCTTTGACCATTGTTAATGCAGTGTGTTTGTGTGGCAGATCCTCTACCTGTGCTGGAGCTGGCTCAGCAGCTGCAGCTGAAGCTCCAGAGGATGCACGACATTGAGACAGAGAACAGCAAACTCCGAGAGACACTGGAGGACTACAACAAAGAGTTTGCAGAAGTCAAGAACCAAGGTTAGAAGAAGAAACGCGTTATACACATGACATATAAAATTTGGACATAAATGTTCATTTTATAATCAGATCTACATAATATGTTATTTTATCAAAGCTTGTATTCAGTTTGTATGAATTCCTCTACTAAAAAGAGGCGAATGGTCAATCAATTATTTACAAACACAAAATGTACAAGGTTTTACATTTTAAATAGATTTCAGGGGGAAGAGGTACAGTTTCATGAATAAAAGACGACAGGCTACCTCCGGGTATAAGAAAGATGGAAAAACTGACAAAAGAGGCGAGATGAGTGAGAAGCAGCAATAAAAAGTGGTGTAATTTTGTTTCAAAAAGGAGGAGGTGTGAGTGAGGGAGCAGGGAATGTTTTGGAATCCCCCTTTCCTCCGCGAGAGTTAATTGGAACAGCTCGATAGCGGCAGGGTTCCATTCTACCATTGATTTTCCTGTTCCCTCATCCTTTATCCCTCCTTCCCGCCTCAATAGATGGGGGATATTTAAACCCCAAAACACACTGGAACTCCCACTCCTGTTAAACACACGCGCACCGACCCGCACACATGCACACGCATGCACACACACACGGTAAAAGTGCAGAGGCCATTGATCCCCGCAACCTAAATGTTTAAAGTTCAGTTAAGCAGTTAAGGGGTAAGAGGGCTCTGAGGGGACTCTCCTCTATTGATTATGTGTCATGGTGGTGAGACTGGAGTTTAAATCACATGCACATACACACACACAGCTAGTGCTAAGAGCCCTCAGTCAAAGGCAGCAGGCAGCCTTGCTCTTTATCATTGTCTCACTCACTTATACATTTCACTGGGAAACTCACACACACATATCAAGGCCTATTTATTACCCCAGTTATGTACTGGATTTATTTCAGGCCTCTGTATACAGTGTTCAGCCATCAGCAGGTTATGGGGTTACACAGTTAATGTAGTGCTAATGAATACAGCTTATATACCTTTAGAGATATTACTATGAAGATTAGACTGCAGTCATGTGGTCTGTGCTGACAGGGGCTTTTATTACTATATTTCCAATTATGGTATTTAGATTCACTTGATATATAGATACACATGAATGCATTATAATTTTTGAATTTTATTTTGCAGAAGTCACAATAAAAAATTTGAAGGAGAAAATCCGTGAATATGAGCAGTCACTAAAAAATCAAGCAGAGAATCTGGCCCAGGAAAAACAGTTGCAACTACACAACGACTATGCAGAAAAAGAGAGGTGGGTGCACTTTACTGTAACTTACTTTTATTGTTTGTTTTTTCATACCACTTACAGCCACTGATCTCATCTTTTGATGTTTGGTATTGGTCGATCCAAGTCCAAACTCTGATCCTTTTTTGCATGGGATGTTTCAATAACACAGATAAACCTTTGGCAGTGTGTGTGTATGTATGTATGTATGTATGTGTGTATATATGCATATATGTGTGTATTATATATATATATATATATATATATATATATATATATATATATATATATATATATATATATATATATATATATATATATATATATATATATATATATATATATATATATATAATTTATATTATTACCTTGAGGTAATAATTTAACAATAAAATAGTTATGTTTTGGTCTTATTAAGCTTGACAGGATAGTATATGGTGGAAAGGGGTAGAAATACTATGAATCTAGTACTTCAGGTTGTTACAGTGATTATTTCTGATTAATTATTTTTATTACTTATTATTATTATTATTATTATTACTAATTATTATACTGCTTTCCAGGTCTTTAATACATACAGTGTTTTAAACCTTATGTTGTACATTACGCACATATTTTTAATAAAGATGAAATTCCTATATGATTAACTGATTCATAAAGGATTAGATCAGATTTGTTAACATTTCTTCTAGTTGATCACTTTGTTTGCCATGTTGAGTTCATTCCCGCTTTTAGATATACAGTTGAAGATCAATTGTCCAACTGTATTTCCTGTACGTCAGTGTTTTATAGGCTTCTTCCTGTCTGCCGAGAGCTGACTTCCTGTGTCTGAGAGGGGCAGTAAATGGATGGCACCTCAGATGCATTTATCCTGCAAGGAGCAAGGGAAGGAGGGAGAGGGAGAGATGAAAGGATGAAGTAGAGGGCAAAAAAATAGAGATGACAGGAGAGACAGATTGGCGGAGAAGGGGGGCATCAAAGAATGCCATAAAGACCGTCTTTGTGCTAGATTATTGATGTTTTTACACGCAGTGGCAATTTCTCTACAGAGCCTAACTTTTTATATGGTAAGAATGAATATATTTTATCCTTGTGGTTTGTGTCACCCCTCCCCCCTCCCTACTCAGTCTTTGCTCTCTCTCTCTCCCCCCTGGGTGCAGTGTGCCCCAGTGGCCAGACATTCCTGCCTAATAGGGCTGCTTAATGAGGAGTGGGTTGTGTTGGGAGGATTTTAGTGGGAAAAACACTTCAGAAATGGTGGGAAAATTATAGTAAAGTTGAATTTGTCACAAATGTTATGTCCAAGATTCACTGATTAACAATCTGTGACTTCATTACTGTATAGGAAATTTCAGGAGAGCCAGGACTCCATGTCATCAAGGTTGGAGGAGGCAGAACATAAGGTCCAGTCCCTGCAGACAGGTAACGCCCTCTCCTTTCAATTTAACTGTTGTTCACAAAAGACATTACATTGAATCAACTGTTATTTTGACTTTTTATGGTGGTGTTTATTTTTTCCTCTACAGCACTTGAAACAACTCAGGCCGAACTCTTTGATTTGAAGACAAAGTATGATGAGGAATCCACTGCAAAGTATGTATTTCACCATACTGCATGGTGCTTAAGAAGGGCCCTCTTTTCCTAACTACTAGTCTTTCATAATACATAGTCATGACCAAACCCCAGCACAGTAAAAACACGGGCCTAAAAGCACTCACTACTCAATAGAGAAACAGGGAGGTTAAGCGGCGTAAATGAATCCAGGGCTCTGTGATTACAATGCCTAATAAATCCCTTAAAGGTTATTCTTTTAAGATTGTTCTTTTAAGAAAATCAGACCTGCACACTGGTAAAGCATGAAAAATCAGGACAAATCCATTCATCCATTTACTTCCACTTTAGCTGGTACATGGTTGCTCTGACTAGGTAAAAGTGGATCTATATTTGTCCTTTCTCCCTTTTTTTTTTAAACCAGATAAATGGCAAATATAATTGCACATTTACTTGGTTAAAGCAACTCTGATTCTGTAAAAACATATGAATGAATTAGTTATTCAGATAATATGTATACTCGTATTTATAAATTATATAGTTTGGATCCTTAAGGGCACTTTGAAAGTGCAGCTGTGTCAACTTGGCTTTTAAGGTTTTCTCTCTCCTGTTTACCATGCCCCAAACTCACTGTGTCTCCATTAACAGAGTTGTTAAATTGATTGGCTGTTAAAAACAGATCGATCTTTCTTCTCTTCCCACTTTTTCCCTTTTCTTGCTTCCCAGTCACACGAAGCTTCTTTTCTCCTGTGGTGTGTTAGTGAGCATTTAAGTAAAGGCCGCAGGAAGACATTGCATGCAGTGTAATTGCATCAATCAAAGGGTTTGATACACTGATGCTTGTACTTTTCTTAAGTCTTTACTCTTGAATCCTCCTTTTCTCCATCTTTGCTTCTTTCTTTAAAATCAGAACACGACAAGTTGTCCGGTTGCTTACGGAAGCTAATAAACACATGCCTTCCCATTCCCCACACACGCTCCTACACACATTCAAATACACACGCGCTCACTCACTCATAAGCCTCAGGCAGTCAGGGTCCTTGACTATGTGGCGTGCTGTGATCTGAAATTTTAATGCAACGCTTTAAAGCACACACAAACCCTCTCTAACCCTGCACCCTCCCAGTCCTTGGAGTCCTTCCCCCGTTTACTGCTTGGCTGAGCAAATCGCCTGTGTTTGGCTGAACACAACTTTTAACCCTTTGAGAGTATACATTTTGGTGCAGCAAAACACAAATGGTATAGCTATAATAACACTTATTTACACCAACATAAGAATACACTAGTATCTACACAATTAGTTTAAACTTCCCACTGAGGAGGACATTGCGTGACAAATCCCCCTTCCTCTGACTGCATTTGAGTAATCTGCCTTTTAAAGCGCACACACTCTCGTGGACAGACTGCCTAAGAATTTGGTTGCAGCTCCTCTGCTCTGAAGCTGTAAGCTGCATCAGGCGAGGGGTGTGCAGATGTAGTGTAGCCCCCTCCCTGTGTTCGCACTGTGAGGGTCTGGCTGGCCGCATTTTACCCGTTTAGTCCCTGTTAAAGATTAATGATCTATTGATCCCCGCCCCCACAGGATGCTACGTGTGTGCAAGCCTCACCCGTGTTTATGCACCGGCGGGTTTGTGTGTAGGCTCTTGATACCACTTTTGGGGAAAGCATTTAATTGCTGATAATTAGGCTGCAGTCAATAGGTCTTTTTTCCTGTGTCCATCTGAGGCGCACAGACAAAATGGCTCACACAGATGCACTCACACAGCTAGCTTCTTTTTAAGCCTCCTTGAAATCCCCAAGGTAACACGCTGTGAAAACGCAATGTGGAGAGAGCCAAGAAAGAAAAGGAATGGAGTGATGAAAGCTAGAGGGCAAAAAGCAAGTCAGGGGCTGCAGGCTACAGTGAGGAAGAGGGGATAACAGTGTGATAGAGGAGGGAAATGAAAATCTAAATCAGGGGAATATCCTGCTGGCGAGGAGGACAGAGGCTGAGGAGTGGAGAGAGGGAGGTGGACGGAAGAGGGATAAAAAGACCCAAAGTGTAGGGCAGAGGGAAGGGAAGGGTCGAGGGGGAAAGGACAGCGAGTGAGTGAGCAAAGAGAGGGGAGATAAGAGATGAAAAGGCCTGTCTGAGATGGAGCAAGTACAGTAGGGGCTTAGAGGCTCTGGGCTCCTTTCAGAACTCCTCTGATGTCACTGGGTGCACCCACTGGCTTTCATGCTACAAAAGAGTGTAAGTGACTCCAAGTATGTGTTTGAGCGCGATTTGAAGATTGTGGTGTGTGGGTATGTGCTATTCGGTATTACTTATTATACACAACTACATTAAACAACTAATATTTTAATTAATATATACAAAAATATACAATATATTAATAAGTAATATATTGTATACAGTGCCATTACTATAGTATAACTGAAAGTTATTAACTTATCACTTTTTTAAAACATTGCCTGTTTAGAAAACACCAACAAAATGTGCTTCTCTAAATTGTTTGGCCTTCAGTTTTATTCTTCAAAAACATTAGATTTGTAGTAGCTTTTATATGCAGTTATTACCTTTGTATTAATTATCTCTTAATATTTGTATTGGTTAGATACCAACATGTATAGGGATTGTCGAAAATCCCTTTCCTGTGATCTGCTTTGGCCTACAGCCTCTAGCTCTGCCTTTATAATTCCCAAATACAACCAAATCCAAAGGTTATTTAAGACTTTGTGCATCTGTACTTTGATTAAATGATCACATTTGGAGCAGCAGCAGAGGGGAATTTGGGTTGCATTACTACCCATAAACACTCTCCATTACAAGCTTTTCTGGCTTGTTGGCTCTCTGACCTTGCGTTTGTGTGTACGAGAGCTGGGCACAACACGGGTCCTGGGCACTATAGCTTAAGACAGGATAAAAGCTTGTGAGGTAGTGAACTATTATGTTGCTTAAATGCATACTAGATCCTTTTAACTGTTAGGCAAAGAATAAAAGCACATAGTGAAAAGCTCCCACCCACATCAGATTCTTTTTGCTGCATTGCCCGTGGCACAATGTTGACCTAATATCAACTGTGTCTGTTTTGTTAAACACATTCAAATCAGTTGTACTCAAGCCTATGGGACATAACACTGTTTCTCCTACTGTGACACACAAATACAAAAGCAGCATGGGTTATTGGGTTCACCATCAAAGGGCTGAAGTGAAATAAAACGTCTTAATGGAAGAAGCAGTGCACATATGTTTTTGCACTTGTGCACTCAGTATACCGCACTGATCTTGTAAATAATGCTCTAAATAAAGTACATGATGCATGTAACTCACACACATAAATTTTTTTTTATCAGTGGCATTTGTTCAGCCTTAATTTCCATTAAAAACAAATGTGTCAAATAAATTCTGCATTTTTTTTTTCCCTCCTTTCAATTTTTTTATGGGATGTATTTTTGCTCTATGACCTCCAGCAAGTGAGAGGTGAACCACGGCCTCCATCCAGACCATTAGTCAGACACAATCGCACAGCTTCATAGCAGATTAGTCGGCTGTATTAGGACTTAGAGCTCTATTAATGTAATCCCTCTGTTTTAGTGTGCCCTGGGTTTAGGGGCTTACATGGTGCATGTCCACACACACACATACACACGCAAAGGAGCACACATTTAAATACAGTTCATGCACATATACAAGCTGTTTGGGTTATAGAGTTCACAATCTTTACATTTATGCATTTTTACTGAAATAATGTTATCTATTTGCAGGGCTGATGAAATTGAAATGGTGATGACAGACCTTGAAAGAGCAAATCAGGTAACTTTTAATATTTAAATTTGTTTAGTCTTGCCTAATCCATAGGTCTTTTTGAAAGTCCCGATGGAAAATGTTAAAACTAAAAATTTTAAGCCTGGCCTTACAGGAGTAAGAGTGACTGCTTATCTCACACCCCTGAAACTCATTGTTTGAAAACTGTGTGCTCTCTGCCCCTGTGTTGTAAATATTCTTGTGGTATCTGTTAATGTCATTGTTGTTAACTTTCATTAATAGCCCAAGAGGATGATTTGCAGCTAAAGGGGTAGCATAGGCATGTAATGTTAATATTAGCCTAAAGGTTGCAGCTCAAACCGAACCACACACACATACACACACACACACACTGTTCACACTGATTTGAGGTTTACAGAGGATGACAACATGGCCTCTAGCTTACTCCCAGACTTTTTGTACACTTTAATAAGGAGAAAATGGAAAACAGGATTTATTTTCCTGTGAGTAACAGTACTGCTCACACCCTGTCAATAACAACTCACAGTATGGTAGCAATTAGAAACACAGTGGAATCAGCTCCCTGTAACTTCTAATGATGGCAACTTGGCACTGCTGTCTGTTGTCTAGTGGTTTGGGCCTATTTTATGTGTCGTGGGTAACTGCTATGTCTCCAGAAATATTTCAAATAAACAAAAATAACGATTGTTGATTTTTGCTTTGACATGTTTCAACATAGAAATGAACATACAAAGATAGTATAATGTGAGGAGGTGGGTGTCCATTTAGTATTTTCATTTTGTCTTTTCAGCGGGCCGAAGCAGCTCAGAGAGAGGCGGAGTCACTCAGAGAGCAGATGTCCTTGAGTAACCAATCTCAGCCTCTCAAAAGCCCAGCCAAGGCCGATACTGACATGGTAACATATCCTACTGATTTACTACTATGTAGCCACACTGGATTTGATAAGACAACTTTAAGTGTGTTCTTTAAATGTGTCTTGTAATCAGAATGATTCATTTTTATATGTTGATCCCCCAGTCACTAAGCAAAAAATGGGCCTAGAATTCAATTGGTGCTGTCATGATGTTTTAATTTATTGTGTTACACAAAAGTTATGAGGAATTTGTACATGAAATACAGTATTTATTCATGGTTTTCAGCTAGGGCTGAGCAATTCATTTAATTAATTTGATTAACCTGTGTTTTTAATGATCAAGATTTTTTTTTAAATCCTGACTTTTATACTTGCAAAGCAGGGTTATTGTGCAATTAAACAATTGGCATTGTAAAAAAAATCTCATTCTAATATAAAGTTAAAATTACATTACATATCTATACTATTGTAATTTCTTAAATAATTGGATATGGTAAGAATGGAAATTTAAAGAGCTTCCCCATTTGAGAGACTCTGACTTAGATTAAAATTGATTTAAAATTGATTTAAATAAAATTAAAAAAAAATCCTTATTTTTTTGGCCGTAGTTTCAACTTCTTATTTATTACCGACATTGTTAGGACTTTTAAACATTCAAAAGATACAGTATTACATTTTCATTCTTAATTGTTATCATAAAGATCTAAATTTTTCACCATTCTGAAACCCAGGGATAGAATATTTTAGCAAATAATATAACAGTTTGAAAAAATAATTCTCTGTAATAGATTGCCATATTTGGATTCTATTGACTATTGATTTGTTTTTGCTTTCATTTAGGAGCAAACAACTGAGGTAGCACCACACTCAAATCTGGAAGCAGAGCTCAGGGCCAAAGAGAGGGAGACTGCCCAGTTGGTGGAGGACGTTCAGAGACTGCAGGCCAGCCTGACCAAACTCAGAGAGACCACTGGCTCCCAGATCACTGAGCTCGAGCAGCAGCTCAGCAGCAAGACTGCCGTTCTGAAGGTACCACCACAGAATGTATATATTTTTAAAGAGACACAGAGAGAGAGACACAGAGAGAGAGACACAGAGAGAGAGAGACACAGAGAGAGAGAGAGACAGACACAGAGAGAGAGACACAGAGAGAGAGAGAGAGAGAGACACAGAGAGAGAGACACAGAGAGAGAGAGAGAGAGACACAGAGAGAGAGAGAGAGAGAGACACAGAGAGAGAGAGAGAGAGACACAGAGAGAGAGAGAGAGAGAGACAGAGAGAGAGAGAGAGAGAGAGACAGAGAGAGACAGAGAGAGACAGAGAAACAGACAGAGAGACAGACAGACAGGTTGATTGATGACAATATGAATAATATATATCATAATATATATATCATATACAATACAATACAATATAAAGTAGTTTTCCTCACTGACAACAATTAGACAACATGTATGTTTTCTTGTTTCTAGGAATTGGAGGAGAAGCTACAGAACCAAGCTGATTATGAGGAGGTGAAGAAGGAGTTGAGGTGAGCTCATTGCAGTCCTATAGTATTATACAGATACTTGCTCTTTTTAGGTAAATTCTGTGCATCTGCAATTTAATCTTGAGTTCCAATTTCTGCTCATAGTATCCTCAAGTCTATGGAATTTGGCACTTCAGACTCTGCCCAGGTAATCATCAACAACAACAACAAAACTTACACTCTTTAGTATAAGTTATGCTTCACACAAATTATTGCGCCCATAGGACTCCTCCAAACCACTAGAAGTGCTGCTATTAGAAAGAAACCGTAGTCTTCAATCAGAGAGTGCTGCTCTGCGCATCGCCAACACCGAACTCAGTGGTAAGTTTCCTTTTAGCATCAAGTTTCCTTTTAGCACCCTTTTCACTTAAGAAAAAATGTATATCTTACAGACACATAGCCACAGCCTGTGTTCACACTGCATGCATGTTATGATATGCACATTTTCCTCTGAGAATATTTGATGTATTGAACTGTGATTATGAAATCAGAAAGAAATACTTTTATTGTGACAAAATATGGTAGAAAATTGTGTTTTTATATCCAATAACAATAATGAAAGGGTAGATGGAAAAAGGGCAATATTATATGCCCCTACATGAGAACTTCTACCCCCTGTAACACTGTGTTTGAAATGTCATGGCTTTGGGCTTGAATAGTTGAATAGCTTTGAATTGATTAACATTCACCATAAGAAAAGCCTACTGTCTTATTTCATCATGTCAAAGCTCAAGTGGATGAAACACTTTTTTTTTTTTTTGCCTACCAGTGCCTGTTGTTTTTACTACTTTTTAATACCTGTAATTAAGTTGTACTACTTTGAAAAAAGGGGAAATGAGAAGTGTTTTTCATTTTTGTGTTTAGCTTTTTCTTTATTTAAAAAGACTGAAGTAGGTACATCTGCAATAAACTGATGATCCAAGAAGACTCTGAGTCTTTCGGGATATGTGGACTTCTCCTTTGGATCCATATACCTATGTGAAGGAAACCAACTAATTTACCTAATTGCACTGTGTCAGTTGTTTTCTTTGCCCTTTGTTTCCTTCCAGGCTGTGGCTTACAAGAAAGGTTAAAATCACAAATGCATGGGCGCTTTGTCTGGGGGGGGTTGGCAAAAAAGGAATATCAGATGACTTGATTAAGATAACTTTTTTTACATTTGTATTTTTTTTTCTCGCACTCTTTTTGGAATCCCTTTTTTGTTGACTCCCCCATAATGCATGGTGTGTTTGACCTTTCCTGTAGGGTCAGCTGGGGGCAAAGGGACAGAAGAGCCTTCGCCAAAGGAGGAGAACATGTCTGGCGTCCCATCTTCGTCCCCTCCTCCCCCTCTTTCTCTCCCCTCTTCTTCGCTCCCCCTGTCTCGCACTCATACGGACACCCTCAACACTGCCACCTCCACCAGCAGCGAATCGCACGCTTTCACTCCCACGGGCATTGGACAGGACTTCTACTCTCCTGTGTTCCCTCTGGTGGGTGGTAAGATGGCTTTGAACTCCCTTATCCAACGGCAACTGCTCCAGACCTTCTACTCCAAAGCTTTGCAGGAGTCATCTGGAATCCCAAGTGGGGCACTCCTGTTCACCCCCTTCACTCCAGCTCTCAGCTCTATCCCAACCTCTACTCCAGGCTCTGCGGCCATCCCTCTAGCCGCCAGCAGCCCCCAGCCTCCGCCTGCCAGCCCAGACATGGCTCCTGTCAATGGGAGCAGCACAGCTGGCAGCGCCCCCTCTCCGTCTCCAAGCCACTCAGACGCCACCAGCGGAAGTGTTCTGGATGGGGAAGACATGGACACGGCTGAAATCGCCCGACAGGTGAAAGAGCAGCTGATCAAGCACAACATTGGCCAGCGTGTGTTTGGCCACTATGTGCTAGGACTGTCCCAGGGCTCAGTCAGTGAGATATTGGCCAGACCAAAGCCGTGGAATAAACTAACCATCCGGGGAAAGGAGCCCTTCCACAAGATGAGGCAGTTCCTCGCTGATGAGCAGAACATCCTTGCACTGCGCAGCATCCAGGGACGACAAAGGGGTGAGTGCATGTCTCCAGTGTATGTGTGCGATTGTGTATGGTGTGTGTGTGTCTTCTTGTGTGAATGTAAAACTCTGCACTGAGCCATTGATTAGCGTGTCAATATAGACTAGCTTTTTATTTTTCTTTTCTCTTTCCTAACTCCCTTCCTGTGCCACACCTGTGTGTTTTGAGTGAGTTCCTAGTCACACACAGATCCCAAGAGCCTTTCCAAGCTATGGTGGTCAATACAGAAACCTTTCACACATCAATAGTATTGACTGTTGGAAACTAGGAGGAAGGCAGGGGTACTGTTAACTACGGGGAGATTCGATTAGCCCTGGCCTGCTTTTGTTAACACATCAAGACATTTCTGATTGAAGGTGTTCTCAAAAGTACAAAAACAACAGCATCACAGATTCAATAATATAACTAGTATTGTTGAAAGTATAGTAGGTAAATGCTTTGTATGTAATGCCTGCATTTATTTCAGGCCTCTGAATCTAGATTTATTCTAGATTATTTTTCTGACTGAGAATACAGTCTGTAAAGAAATCCTTTTGTTGCACTCTTGTGTGCATTGGATGAAGGAAGCTACACTGTTGAAAAAGTGTATTTGAAAACCAGTATAGGAAATCAAATAGATGAGTTGATAGAGGAAGCACACATCTGGTGTAACATAGTGTGTGATATATTGTTTTTAACAGAGGGCTCAGGCCAGCCCCAGCTTAGCCGAGTGTTTCAGGATGTTCCGAAGCGGAGAACCCTTTCTGATACAGCTTCACACGCAGGTCTGTCCCCTTCACACAGAGATTGTAGCACGTTTTGTCTGTGTGGCATGTTTGTGTTGAGGTAAACCTATTCTATGCTGTGTGTGCGATCGGGCTTGTGTGAGAGTTTTTTGGGTTTTGTCGTGGCAAGCTTAAAAATATTCCTATGTCTTAAGAGGTCACAGCATGTGTACTGATTTTACTGTTTCTTTACTGCTCTGAGGGGAGTGTTTATTGTAATGTTGTAGCTTATCTGCATGTGTGAGCTGCTGGGACACATGATGATATCCCCTCCAGTGTAGATGCCTTGAAACTCGGCAGTGGGAATGTAGTTATTGTGCTGTGATATAGTGTGATAAAATTGTGTAATTTTTTACTTGCTCTGACATTTATCTATTTGTTTTTAAATCTGAGTGAATAATTAATTTCCTCTCTATTTGGCTTTGCTTCTGTCCAGGTAACATTACAGCTCGTGTACGTACACCAGAAGCAGGTTCAGATGAGGCGATCAAGTCCATTCTGGAGCAGGCCAAAAGAGAGCTGCAGGTGCAGAAAGCTGGTGAGTTGCTACTTTTATCTCCAGAGCCCAAGGTGAGGCATTGTTGCTATATGTATTTTTTTTTTCTTATTCTGGCTCCTCCTGTCTTCAGCAGACATGTCCCACACTCAAACCTCATATACTGGACTCAAAGGAGGCGGAGGAGGCAGTGGCTCAGATGAGGCTATCCGCTCCATCCTCGAACAGGCCCGGAGAGAAATGGAGGCCCAGCAAGCAGCTCTAGAACCCATTCTCAAAGCATCGTCTTCCTCATCCTCTGCTCTGTCTCAGAGGGACCTCTTGAGTTCTCCACTCACTGCCCCCCTCCCGCCTTACAACCCCCTTGCACTTTCTCTCAAGAAGCCTTCCAATTCCATTCTGTCTTCTCCTTCATCCCCATCACCGGTTCTGGACTTCAGCTCCAGTGGAAAGAGAGAGGGAAGGCCTTCTTCAGGAGTTGACATGTCTGCTGATGGAGCGCTCAGGCTGGGACGTGATGGTACAGTCCGTTCTGGAAGTGCTGGAGGAGTGGGTTACTGGAGAGAGCAGTGGTGGAGTAACATGCACACAGAGCCTCGTAAGACAACATCTGGCCAGACAGGGGAAGAGAACCACAACCAGGAGGACTCCAAAGAGGTGAGGTGTCTGCACTCTAATGTGAAGGCATAATGTCATTTGGCTATTTACTTTAGATGTGTTCAGTGTCTGCATATCTGTTCTTCCATATTTACTCTGCTGAAGTTGTGTATATTTAACTATGGGTTTTGTTTCTTAGGGAATACTTGGCGATAGTCTGTCTCGACACAAACCCTGGAACAAGTTGAACCAGAGAAGCAGGGAGCCATACCTTCGCATGCAACCATGGCTCAATGGAGACCAAGGGCAAAATGCACACATCCAGCAAGCTTCAAATCAAGGTATACAATAATGCATACAGCAATGACAAAAGACAAACGATTTAGAATTAAAGGAAATAGATCCTAATTCAAGCTGATGGCTGGTTGTTTCTGTCCCCCTGTCACTCACCCCACATACCCTCTGTGCAGCCAGCACCCACCCCACACACCAATGCTCTCTCTTCCCACCATCCCCCCATCCCCAGTGCCATGGCAGTGTCAGCCAGCAAGCTGCTGGTTTGTCATGTCATAGACAAGTTAGTGTTGCAGCGCCAGATGGCAGCTCGGTGTGTGTGTACGTGCCTCTCTTTCTCTCTGGGGGTGTAAACAGCAGCTAATGTACACTGACAGCTCCTCATGACTGCTCTCTTCCAGCCTGCTGAGCCGCACAGCAGTACTACACAGACACAGACAGCAAGATGAAGGAGTAGGGCAAGAAAGCCAAAAAAGCTTCAAACCACAAACTTAAGCACCTTTGCTGTTTAACAGGAATTAAATTTGCTAATATAGTGTGACTTAAGTTCCTCCTCAGCTCAGCAGGATTGGAGAAGAACCTTAGTGTTGGTATAACATGTTTTTGAACCTTGACTGCTTTTTTTTAAACAGAGGGTACTCCCAAAACATCAGCCAGCTGCAGTCCTGCTCCGGAGTCGCCCTTGAGCTCAGCAGAAGAGTCCGTCAATGGATTGACCGGGGATCCACTCACCTCACAGTCATCCAGTGGTAAAGCTCCCTCCGAAGAACCATCTGGAGGGGAGTCTCAGCCTGGCACTCCTTTGCCCATACCTGGCCACTCTGGTCTAAGCATCCAGGAAATGGTCGCCATGTCCCCTGAGCTTGATACCTATGCCATCACAAAGAAGGTCAAAGAGGTGCTTACAGATAACAACCTTGGTAAGTCTCACTTTCTATTTTCAATTTTAAATGTGGTTTCATTTTATCTGTCTCTTGTTGTAGTATTTAGTGTCAGTTGTTAATATTTACATTCCTCTCTGTATCCAGGCCAGCGCCTGTTTGGGGAGACTATTTTGGGCCTGACTCAGGGTTCAGTCTCAGACCTGCTGGCCAGGCCCAAACCATGGCACAAACTCAGTCTGAAGGGCAGGG